CCAAGCACTGCTGTAAGTTATGCTTTGGCCAGGATTCTCCCTCCTTTACTAGCCCTTATGAGTCAAGGTGGGATTCAAACACCACACTTGGACCTGGCCCCAAGAGCTGGAATAAAGTACGAAGAAGGCCACATTTGGTCCTGATGTGAATATACTACATAGAAGATCCTTAAAGCCCTGAGCATAAGCACTCACGCCATCACTGAACTTTAGACAAGTTTAATATTAGAGGGAGCAACTATCCACTTTGAAATAGTAATCTGAATAATTTAATAAAAACCCCATCTGTTTATCCCTCCTAGGTAGCTCTCCTGTCCATGCTATACTTGTTCTGCAGAAGGAGGTCTTCAGCATCTGTTAGGTACAGTACTATACTTTCCACAAGCATTCACTTAACCTCCCTCCCAGTACATAGAATTTCTGTGGATTATTTATGGCACATCTCATAAGAGGATAGTGGATAAACCTTGGTGTTCTGGCCTCATTCCCTCTCCTGATAAGACAGCTGTGTGGTCTTTTGTTAAGTCCATAATGGATGTGCAGCTGTTAGAATGTCCCAGTGTCAGAGTAATGAGTTCTCAGAGCTTTACAGATGTGTGTAGTACCACTGTAAGAGTGCGATATAAAGGCCTTTGAAAACTGCCACAGAAAGATACATAATAGCCATTTCTTATCATTACTTTCTACCATACATTATCTTGTGCAGTTTCTTTTCCCCACCCCCCACCCCAAGACACACACTCACAGATTTAGGTCATTAGTAATTGGACATGTGTGGAAAATACATAAGCTCAGCTCAGCATTGCTTAATTAATTTCTTAGTATGCTGATTTGGCAGTTGTCATACAAAACAGAACAGTTGGATATTTCAAATAGTAATAAAAGGACACCATCACTATAATTAACTCCTGCCCATGAACCCAGCTCTTTTTGTGCAACTACATCTTCCACCCTAGGCCACTTTAAAATTAAAACCCCGTTCTGTCATGAGAAAGGAATTCCTTTACAGATTTCAAAGTGGAATTTGAGTAACAACAACAGCAACAAAAAAGGACACTATAGTTCAGTCACACTCAGTTATTCTACACATCAGCCAGAGTAGAACCCCCCCCTCCAAAAAAAAAAATCCTCTCTCCTTAGATCTAAAACATTTCACGTCTCAGTTCAGAATACAGCCCTGACAGATTCTAGCTGCAGTTGCTCCATGACAGAAGAAGCAGGACCTGCCAGCCAGAGCATCCTTACAGTACGCGGGACATGCTAAAGAGTGCTTGCTGAAATAGTCTATCCACCAACTCACAGGACCAGACACCAAAAAACAAGAGATCCATCCTGATATGTTTTATGAGCGTTTCCTGTTGGAGCAGCATTTTAATTAGCAACAGAAAGGCCCATCCTCTTAAATTCTGTAAGAGTCGAATTAAAACCATTTCCACTGCTCCTCCTGAAAAATTTCTGCCACAGCTCTTCACATCACCAGTTCCCTTAATTCCTTCCTTAACCTTCCCAAAGAATACTGCATGGCCCCACCAGGCTAGCTGTCTAGGTCATGGGAGTAATATAAAGCTTTAAGTTGGAGCTTAATTTGCCATCATCTGCTTACTTCATTCAGGGTCCCATGTGCTTTAGGTGGTTTTGGCACAAAGCTACATTGTAAGAAGAGACAGCTGCCTCCCTCCATCAGCTTCTTCACTACTGACTCTAGAGGCTGAGCCGAGAGGCTTTAAAAGGGGTCTCTGGACTGAGCAAGAAGCCTTTTTTTTTTTTAAATAAAAAAAAGATATCCCCCCCGCCCCCAACCTAATCACATTTCATTAGTCAGATCATTTAAGGAGACGAATTTTTGTTTTGGACAGGAAAATGAAATATCATTAATCTTTACCAAGAGAGTGGTCAAGCAAATTTTGTGCCCAAGCAGGTCATTTTTAATACTATTTCAAGGCTGGCTTAAGAGGCCTAATCCAAGATGTAAAATACAGTGGGACATACTGATCCCAACTGTTTCAAAAGGCACCCCACACCTACACCAGAGAAAGGCCAAGAATTGGTAATCAGGTGATTCTAGCATCACCAAAAGGAAACAGGTTTGTTCCATGACAGCCACATACAGGTATTTTTAAAAGATCCTGAGTTTAAAAAAAATCCCCCACAATACTTTTACTCATCTCTTCTGTTTTGAAAATACAACCGTGAATATTATCTCTAAGTAATAACAAAAACAGTAATGTACTGAATATGGCATGCCACCATAAAAGCCAAAAGGACAAAATTTTACACATACCCTGGTTATTTTCCAAAAAGTCTCCGTTTTGCGAATGAGATGAATACAGGAAATCTGTAACAGGAAAGTCCAATATGGCATAGCAAGTGGGGCTTAGCAGTAAGACACAAAAGCCTTACTGTATATATTTGTATCTTACAGGTTAGCAGTAAACAAACTCAAACAATGGTTGAAATAGAAAAAGGTGCTCTCAACCTGTTTAAATAGAAAATTTCCCCCCCTTTTACTGATAAATAATGGACATCAGGAAGATGGAGTGATAAAAAGATTGAGAAACCTTCATTTAAACAGCCATGTTGTGTTTTATACTATGCTGAGTGAAATGGGCAGCTGATTAATACTCCGGCTACATGCAAGCAGACGCTGCCATTTTTCCAGATAGCTTTGCTAATGCAATTTGATCACGACCTGCATTGCCCTTATTATTACAGTCCTGAATCTCATTTGGGACAGAGAGAGATTGCCAACTGTGGCAACTTGTGTTTTAGTGTGCTGGCAATTTTAATGAGAGACTTTAGAAATTAGTATGAGACTAAACTCATTTTCACTTATAGCCAAAAGGGATTTGAGCACAGAAGTACAAAGCCAGTAGCATTAACCTACTATACCAGCAGAGGAGTTCAGAATCCTAGCTGATGTTTAACACCTCTACTTAGGAGCTAGCACTCATATTACTTCTACTGCTGTTTTAAAATGTAATTTCCCCTTCTGACCTGGGCAATAGAAACAATTGTGTGGAGGGAGGTGGGGGGGGGGGACAGTGCACTCATATTACTTCTACTGCTGTTTTAAAATGTAATTTCCCCTTCTGACCTGGGCAATAGAAACAATTGTGTGGAGGGAGGTGGGGGGGGGACAGGTGCAGACAGACCAAGGCAAAGCCTCTTAACTCAATGGAAGTTAGCATGAAAGGCAATCTAGGGACACAGTTTATTTTACTTCTGTGAAAAACACTGTATGTTCCTTCTTACTAAACCTTCCTGTTCCCTGAAGTTCAATTATATCCCAAGGCTTGTATTCTCTAGGGATATGTCA